CCACTATTCCCCTACGAGCTGCTCCTATTCACTCGAACTCCCCTGCTGCTCCTTCCCCAACTGCCCCGGCCACCGCCCGTGCAGAGTCTTCACACACTACATCAGCAATGGGCCACGCTCCCTCACCTGGGCCCCTGCCCTCCTCCCTTCCGGGCTCCTCCGCTGCGCTGGGCCCATGCCCTCCTCCTCCACGTCTGGGATTCTGCCCCATCATCATGCCTCCGCCTCATCTGGGCCTCTTCCAGCCCATCCGGCCTCCGCAGGCCCTCCAGTCTCCACTGGGCCACCCCAGTCCACCCGGCCGCCCTTGGCTCGCCCCAACCCACTGTTACCAGGCCTGCTGCCCCGTCTCCCCTCGTTCGCACACACCGGATGACCACGCACGCTCAAGATGGCATTTACAGGCCCAAGCGCCTATTTTCAGCCAATTTGACGGCCCAGACTCCCCCACTTGAGCCTCGTTCGGTCAAGGAGGCCATGCAATATTCTGAATGGGACGCTACGCTCCGACAAGAGCATTCAGCTCTCCTCCGTAACCACACATGAGATTTTGTTCCTCGGCAACCACACTTCAATGTCCTTGGCAACAAATGGTTCTATCGTATCAAGCATCATTCTGATGGCTCTATCAATCTCTTCAAGTCCCGCCTTGTTGCCAAAGGTTTTCATCAACGCCCTGGTGTGGATTTTCACAACACTTTCAGCCCAGTGGTCAAACCTGTCACGGTCCGTACTGTCTTCTCCATTTCTCTCTCACAGAATTGGGCCATTAAGCAGTTCGACGTCAACAATGCCTTTTTGCAAGGGCCTCTTGATGATGAGGTATACATGGTGCACCGCCTGGCTTTGTTGATTCTACATATCCTAATCATGTTTGTCGGCTGCGTCGCGCTATTTATGGTTTGCGTTAGGCCCCACGGGCGTGGTATACTGCTCTCAGCTCTTTCCTCTTGGCGTTCGGCTTCCGCAAGACTCAGTCTAATGCCTCCCTCTTCGTCTATCAACTATCGGGCATTCTTCTCTATTTTCTGGTGTATGTCGATGATCTTCTGCTCACCGGCAATGATGCTCACACTCTCTCTACCTTCCAGCAAGCTCTCGCCCAACAATTCTCTCTCAAGGAGCTTGGTGACGTTAACTACTTTTTGGGTATAGAGGTCATTCCTACAACAACTGGGTACATCCTATCTCAGCACAAGTACATGACCGACATTCTTACTCGGTTTCATATGTTGGCAATGCAGTCAAAATCGGGATTTTGATCGTAAAATCGTAGGATTTTAGTTAGGGAATCCGATCCTGATTTTACTATAAAATCGGTGGACCTTAAAATCGTTCAAAATCGGGATTAAAATCGTTAAAATCGTAAAATCGTACCAAAATCTGGATTTTGATCCTATGTGAACAAAATATGCAGTTTGACACAATTCAAAAGAAGCAAAACTGTTTTGGCGAAAAGGCCAATGACGGGGATCTTCTCGGATATTTTTTCAATTAAAAGAACATTTGAAAAGGAAAAAAAATCAAATTAGGGTTCGGTCAACCCCTTTCAATTCCCCTTGTTTAACTCATCGGTAAACCGTTGTAATAATATTATAAATACAATAATATTATAAATACATAAGAATTAACATCATTATTAATAAATTAATTGATTAATGAATATATTTGTACCAAATCAATGACATTAATTATTTTATTGGAGTTCACTTATTCTTAGTTTTAAGTCATGCTTAGTAGATGATGTCGGAATACTACTTTGAGTTAAACTACCTAAACACAACATGAAAACAAGAGTCAAACCCCATTAGCTCTGTCCCTTTCTCATAAATTATTTTGAGTTACGCATTAAATAACAATTAAAATGATGATTCTGGAACAATAATCTTGAAAATATCATTTTAGATGTTATATGTCTTTGTCTTATTAATAATTTATCTTCTTAATATTATTATATGTTAATTTTTATATGGTACTTAAAATCCTACGATTCTACGATTCGATTTTACGATTCTGATTTTACCCCAGTTTTCGATTTTATGTAAAATCCCGATTTTGACTGCTTTGTATGTTGGATGCGGCCCTAGTCCCTACACAGTTGGCATCCACGGTTACTCTCTCACTCCGCGATGATACATCTCCGACGGATGCAACTAGATATCGGCAGGTACTCGGTGCTCTTCAATATCTCGTCTACACACGCCCTGACATTGCCTACGCTGTCAACAAATTGTCTCAATACATGCATACTCCATCCTCACATCACTGGCAATGTCTCAAGCGCATTCTCCGCTACGTGTGTGGCACTATCTCGTATGGCCTGGCAATTCGGCGCTCATCACTTCCACTCCAGGTCACGACCTTTGCTGACTCTGACTGGACCGACAATGTCGATGATCGTACATCCACATCTTCCTATCTGGTTTATTTGGGATCCACCCTCATCTCCTGGCGCTCTAAAAAACAATGCACTGTTGCTCGCTCCAGTACTGAAGCAGAGTATCGCGCCATTGCCCATGCCGCTGCTGAGTTGGAATGGGTCCAAAATCCTCTGCACGAGCTTCATCAAACACTCTCTATGCCGCCAACCCTCCTCTCTGACAACCTCAACGCCACATGTTTCAGTGCCAATCCCCTCTTCCACTCCTGCACGAAGCATTTGGCTATAGACTTTCACTTTGTCCGCCAGCTCGTTCAAGATGGCCGCTTTCATGTTCGCTACATTCCCACTGCGCACCAGCTCGCTGATATGCTCACCAAGGCGCTACCGGCTTCTCGCTTCCTACTTCTAAGGTCCAAGATTGGAGTCGTTGACACCTCCTCCATCTTGCAGGGGTGTATTAGAGAAAAAGAATAACAATTCTTTTTCCTTTTCCGTTCCTATTCTTTAGCCCTCTCCTCCTGTACATTCTCCCCACTCTGTACACTACCCTTAGCTCTCTCAACAGACTCACCTGTAATAGTGTATAAAACAAACTGAATACAGAGAAGGAAATCACGTTTTGATTGCATCAAGATCCTTCTCTCCAAAAATCACTCCTTTCTAACAGTCTCTAAGATTGGAGTGTGAGATTAGAACAAGTTATTTGCAAAGACAAGTTACTGTACGCCTAGACACGAAATTCCTGTTCATTTAGACTCAGAATTACTATTCACCCTCCTCCCATTGGTGCATCCTCTGAGACCGTGCCCACCTGCCTTTTCTTATTGGTTGGCTGCCTGTGTCTGGGTCCCGCCGTTATTTCTGTGTGTGCCGCGTTGCCCTCAGCTGCACGCTCATTTTCCCTTCGCTCTCTCTTTCCTGCTTTTCTTTCTCTGCTTTTCTCAACTATTCCCTCTGAAACCTTCTGCTAATCATTACACCTGTCAATCTGTACGTTTCTCTTTGCTCTTTTCTCTTATCTTGCCATGGATACTGCTGCACTGTTTTTTGGGTCCCGAGGGGTTTCTCGAATATTGTGATCCTTAGCAGAGAAGTTAAGGGTTTTCCCCACCACACAAACAATAAGTAGAGAGGAGAGAGAGTCCGAGGCAAATTAGAAATCCTTTTCTTCTCCCTCTATCGGTTGCCTCTGCTTTTCCCTTTGTCTGACCAGTGCGATGATCGATGCTTTTCATCATCAAATTGATAAGGATGCGTTGGGAGAAGAGCTCTGCTTTGTAGGAGATGAGAGACTAATTTATTAGGTGCTTCATTCCATCTGTTCGCATTCATCCCCCATTTTGGGAGAGAAAAAAATGGCGCCGAATACGTTCAGAAAGGCGATCGGGGCGGCTAAGGACCACACCACCATCTGCCTGGCGAAGTGGCGGGGACAATTTCACCGGATCTGGAGGTCCTCGTCGTGAAGGCGACGAGCCACGACGAGGAGCCGACCGACGAGAAGTACTACAGGGAGATATTCTCCCTCACCTCCTCCTCACGCGGCTACATGAGCGCGTGCGTCGCCACCGTCTCGAAGTGGCTGAGCAAGACCCACGACTGGATGGTGGCGCTCAAGTCGCTGATGCTCGTCCACCGTCTCCTCGCCGACGGCCACCCTTCCTTCGAGGACGATATCCTCTACGCCGCCCGCAGCGGGATGCGGATCCTCAACATGTCCGACTTCCGATCCGAGGCGAGCTCCAACTCGTGGGACCATGCCGGCTTCGTCCGGTTCTATGCCATGTACCTCGACGAGAAGGTCGGCAGCTCGGCGTTCGAGAGGAAGTGGCGAGCCGGCGGCGGCGAGAAGTGGCGAGCCGGCGGCGGCGAGAAGCGCCGCCGCGGCGACGAGGAGGCCGCTAATTGCGAGTTCGGGAGGAGGTTCGACGAGAAAGATGAGGAGCTAGGGTTTGACAGGAACTAGAGGTCAGAGAATCAGAGGCGATTCGACGAGAGGGAGGACGAATTGGGGAAGCGGAGGTGGTCGAATCACAGCAACGGCCGCGGGGAAGATGAATCCCCCAATCAATTGATTAGGAAACCGAAGGATCTGGCTCCGATCAAGGAGATGGCGACTAGGGCTGGCTATTTGGACCGGGACCGGATGAAAAACCGGAAACCGGACCTTATAACCCGGACCGAGACCGGACCGGGACCGTATAGTAAACAATCCAATCCAATCTTTGGGCTTAGATTTGAGGTAAAAAACGGATAAAGACCGGATAAGAGAGCTCAACACCCAAAACTTAAGAGTAATTTGCATAAACGGTCACAAACCTTTACACTTAGTACAAAACTTAACCAACTCCTCACCCTTTTAGGCCTTAGGCCACTCAAATTCCCACAATCTCAATATAAAATCAAGACCGAATTGGGACCGGACCGGGTCAAGACCGGACCGGATCAAGACCGGACTGTATCCAATCCAATCTTCGGTCCTTATATTTTCAAAAAACCCGGACTGGACCGGATCAATTTGGGCCAATTTAACCGGACCGGACCGTATAGCCACCCCTAATGGCGACGGACGGCGTTTTGGGGAAATAGAGCCAGCTGCTGAGAGTTCTAGACAGGATTCTTGCCTGCAGGAATGGCGAGGACCAACAGGTTGGTGCTGGTGGCGTTTCAGCAGGTGGTTAAAGAGAGCTTTGCTCTGTACATCGAGAAACCCAAAATGAGCCATAAGATCATCCAGAAATGGATTTCGGGTGAGATTTCCTGCTTTCTCTCAACCATTACTGTTTAGTAGCTCTACATCTTACTTTGGTTCTCTTCTCTTTCCTCTCTCATCGGTGTTTATGAATCACTCTCCTCATTGTGCGTGCGTTCAATTGAGCCAGTAAGGTCGCCTTTGCCTGAGCAAAAGTAATTGGTTTTGTTCTGATTTCTTGTCGGAGCAGCATGCCAATGGGAAGGCAAATGCGGCTCCAGCTCGAGTTGATCAAGTTTTGTATGTGAGCAGTTCTGCGTGGGTTTGGAAAAGTGCCAGATCCAAACTTTCTTAAAGGCATGGTGCTTTTGGTTCAGGTGATTTTTCTTTCTGCCTTTCGGATGAGTTTCTTCTCTTTCCTATAAATTTGTTTTTCCTCTGTTTCTTCAATTGCGGGCATAATCGTTTGTTTTAATGCTATAGGTGTAGTAGAAACAACTATAATGGATGCAGAAACAACAATGGTGGATACACATGTCAGTTTTGGAGCCGATTCGATACCTTTGTACATAATAATTGGTAGTCCAAATGCCAAGTTTTCTTCATTTGTTAAGGACTCTTGTCATATCCCTTCCCCTGATTTCTTTTATTTGCCATTATAAGATGAGTGGAACACTAGGTTGCTCTGGATTTGTAAGGTACAGAGAGGGCTACCAAAAGATGCAGATCAACAGAATGGGGTTTTGGTTTAGGTAGTTGTTCTTTATGCAAAATATTTTTCTATCTCTCAATAGTCTGACATGGATTCGCTCTTTCCCTCTTTTCAGCTGATTGATTCGCTCGATTTCTTATCATGGGACATGGGAGATACATTGAAGGATTTCACAGTTAGAGAAAGAAGCGGCCAGGGGTGATCAACGAATGTCGCCAAGAAGCCCAATTTCTTACCACGAGATTCAGCCTTTCTTTTGTATAACGTCTCTCCTTCTCTTACTTGGCAATCCCTCCTTAGTGAGTATCTCTCTCTATTTCAGTGGTCCTTTAATTTGTTTTGTTGCAGGATTCCAAATTCATCCATGGTAGAGGAATCCTCCAATGCTGCAGTTGGGGCAAGGTGAATCAGCTCCCGACGAGAGAAGGAAAGAATATGTGGTTTTGGAAGGGTTTTGTTGTCATTTTCCATTTGTAAGCGATCTTTTATGTGCTATGCCATAGTTGCTTTCATGAGTTTGTCTTGGCTTACTGAATCTCATCTTTTCTTTGTTGTTGATGATCTCAATTTGACTTCAACTCGGTGATTTTTGCAACTGTTTACTTTGACTACATCGAAAATGGTCGGGTGTTGGGAACAAGGAATATACATATATGTGTAAGGTGGTGTATGCCATAGTGTTGGATTTCTCATCCTGCCATCCATTTTTTTGTCTGGTCTTCAACCCCTTGCAGTTGCATTGGGTTGCATTCGGTCTAAGTATAATATTCTTGTGCAGTTGTTTGTGTGCTTTACCTTCCCTTTAGGTTGAGCAAAGTGTTCGTTTGTGAATTAGGAGATTAAGTTATTTGTTTGCCTGTTTGGCTTGGTGATAGTGTCTTTTTTCCCCTGAATCACAAAAGAAAACATATGGTCTTTTGTTGTACCCTTTCTTAGGACTAAAACATGTTTTTACTATATAGCCAGTGGTGGCTGCAGAATGATCAAGTCAGCACCAACAAGCCTTCAAATAACTACTATAGACCATCATATTTTGTTTTCCCTTCCATCTAACTGGTGTTCTTGGCGTGGCAACTGGCAATGATGGAAAATGTGATTCAGGCCCTGAATAATTGTAAAATGTCTACTTTGTGGTCAAGCATTCTGCATTCAAGAGACAAATGGAAGACCTAAATATTTCCAATACAGATTTTTTAACTTTTTCCAGATTATATGCATACAAAAATATATCATAATCCATGAAATTACTAAAGTCAAACTTACCCCACCGCGGAGCGTGGGCTGATTACTAGTTATAATTATTAGTGAACATATTTTTCATTATACTATAATTTATTTTAAGATAAATGTAACTATAAATAGCTAAGGGTTATCCTTTATCCCCAAATTTCCCTTATTATGAGATATTGTATGATTGAATATTTGTGGATATATTGTCGAGTCTGCTAGTGAATGGGAACCATACGTTAAGGGTTAGCCTGAAAGATTCATTATTGTGTCGGCTAGCTACACATTATAGTGAGCGTGACAGCTTATAAGAATGACCGCCGTATAAGCTCAATTTGGAAATTCTTCCAACTTATTGAGTTATTAACATCAACTCAATTTGACATGTTTATATAGTCAAGATTTTCATAGAATCTCAATAATTATATATATATATATACTCGCCTTCATTATTGACATATAAATTTCTCTTTCATGAAAAATCTCATTTTCTTTTCAACAATGAACGATTACTTCCATATAGTTTCTCGAATTTCATCAACTAATCACACAGTCTTATCAATCACTCATTCATAAAAAGTTCATGTCACAGAGTATGATAAAAAAAATGCCACAGAACTGCTATTTGAATTAAATTAATCAAGAAATTATTTTTGATTCCATCAACCATGAAATTAAGAGTGGTCGATGACATTATTGTATCGGATAATGTGAATGATCAGTGACTAAAAATTTCATCAACCATGAGTGAATATATGAACATTTGTGTGAAAAATGAGTTTGTCCTAGTTGTCTTTTCCCTATATAATGGTTTGTTGTGGACTTGTGGCCCTTGTCACATACGAGCAAGTATCAAAACGGATCATTATCAAACTCTCAGTCCATGAGCTCTTTCGAGCTCACTGTAAAATGTTGTAACTGGTATTTTTCAACCTCGTCGTTGTCGATTTCTTAATATTATATTCATTTCGGTCGTTTATTAATTAACTCAATCCGTCTCGATTCTAATTCGAGCTCTCCTTAATTAACACAACAAAACGCATAGATAATAATAAAGTATTACCCAGATCAAACATATATATAACATGGACCGATGCCTTGTACTAGCACTACACAGTACGTAGTACTTTTACACAAACAACAACATTCCCTTTTATTCTTCTCGCGACACAAAACGTAAATTAACGAAACCACTCGGACCACGCACGCATCAATCGGCCTCCTCGAGCAGCATTACCTGACCCTGTAACACAAATCAAGCACGCAATTAGTAAAAAAAAAACAGAAGAAGATTGGGATCGTCACAACATAATTACATTAAACTAATCAATACTTTAGAAGACTTCAATTCATGAATGGTGTGTTCTAGCGTACAAACCACTTTAAACCCCATGCAGTAATTCGAGTTATCGGAAAATGGTTTATGTGAAGCTGTTTTTATCTCTCTTACACACCTCGCTCAAACGAAAGCCAGACCTCTTTTTGGGGTTTCTACAGTTTGCACAGGTGGATAGTATCGGGGGCTAAACTAAATCATTAATTAGTTTGATCATACCATCCTATCTTGTGGGGGGTCGTCATGATCGCAGTTCGAAACCACCACCTTTCAATTTAAACTTTGATACATACCATATCAGCAGCAGACAAACCACTCGGTCCCAACACCTCGAGAACGTTGCGAAATGGATCTCTCGAAACGAGAACAAACCCCCCCAAAAAAAAAAGAAAGAATTTTATTTTTGGGACTACTCACTTGGTGCAGTCGGTGGATGTGCTGATAGGGTAAGGGATGCTGACGCCGCACTTGCCGGGAAGCCCGGCGGCGAGGGACGGGTTGAGGCCTTGGATACGACCGGAGAGGGACTTCAAGCAGTTGCAAGCCGCCTGCCGATCCGGCGTGGAGCTGGCGACCCCGTTGAGGGCCCTCACCCCGTTGCAGCAGCCGGGCGACAGCGGGGCCATGCCCCTGACGTAATTCACGCACGGGCCGATGCTGGACGCGACCTGGCCGCATGTCACAGCTGCTTGGCCCAGCTGCGCGCTCGCCGCCACCATCACCACCGCCATCAGCGCCACGACAACCTGCATCTTAGTGACAGCCATGGTAAGGAAGAGAGGGTTTTCAAAGGCTTTTCTTTTTTGCGCTTTTGAGTGTGGTAAGTAGCTAATGGAGTGTGTGGTAAAAGGCGTAACGGGGGTGGGGAATTTATAGCGGGGAAATTCCGATTTTTTCCATGCATCTGGTGAGTAGTTAGAAGGTTGATATGGTTGGGGCGTAAAATATTGAATGAATTGTGTCGGCAGCACACCACCACCCTAATAATGAATTTCGTTCGCACCGGTCTGAATATACGAATATCATGTGCTTTATCAGTGGCGGAGGCAGGATTCGGAACTACCCTGTCCTTTTTTTCAAAATATAAAAAGTTAATAATTAAAATTAAAATTAATAATATCAAAATAATTCATTAATAGATAAAGAAATGAGCGATTTATACAATTATTGTTTGAATAAACAACCATGACGAGTTTTCATATTATGAAAGAATTACAAAATACATTAATTGTTTACACTCTTAAGTGAGCATCTTTTGATATTCCCACTAAAAAATCATTAACAAACTTATCATTAATTCGATTTCGGAACTTGTTCTTGATATATCAATCTAAAAATGCTTTTTTTTTACGTTCGGAGTTGCAACTGGTAGTATCAAAACTAATTTCAGAAGCAAATAAACTGACTGATATAACCTATGCACTTTTGTCTCCACCATGATCTGAGATCATCTATCAATTTCTTTCAATCCAACAAATCTCTCATCAGCCATAAAATAATTATAATACCCAATAGTCTGTTGTCGAATAATAGTTTTATGAATGAAACCAATAAATTAATTATTTTCTTACAATTAATGAACAAGTAATGAATTATAGTGTAGTGCCAACATATCCTTATATTATTTGTAGGTGTTGAGTTTATTCTCCGTTAAACATATATAGGATTATTTTTTCCCCTCCCAAAATTTGCCTCCGCCTATGTGCTTCACAAATGGGGTCATCTGCATTCGAAAATACTACTACCGTCTAAATAATTTAGTAAAATAGATTAAGAAAAAATTGATTCATACAATTACTTTTTTATTTTTATAAATGACTACAACACATTTTTCATATTTCGAAAGAACAGTAGAAAAATGCATTGGTTGTCTATTGCGCCTCTTTCGGAAAATGAAAACGAATCTATCTACACTTGTACAGTAGCGACCGGTAGAATCAGAACTACATTTAAGAGCAAACAAACTTGACGAATATGGTTGATATGCACTTTTGTCTCTGCCATATCTCGTCAATTTCTTACCGTCTGGCAAATGTCTCATTAGTTATAATATTTCTTACGAAGAAAATTGATTGAATTAGCGTTTTAGATTCAGTTCTTTGTATATATATAAAAGTATGTAATCTTTTTTTCCCAAAAGGCCAAAACATACTATTGTCTTGTGAGAATGTGACAATGCCAAACCAGTCTCCCTCCATCTATCACTATAGAGTATGCTGGCTGGTTGTGATAATTAATGGAGGGAAGGGTATATAGATGGACGACCCCAGAATTTGATTGGCGGTGCAGGCTTGCAATAGGTGAAAGTACCTTAGCCTCTAACATAAAAAAAATAATGATATTGGTATACTCGAAGCCGGTGTCAAGATTAGTTGATCCAAATAATTCGAGCGTTTGAAAGAATTCCAGCTATGGATCATATACTATTCATTGGTCCATTCCCTCAAACGAAAGCAAGTACTGATATGAGCTTTGAAGTTTGCACAGGTCCGGAACACCATGTGCTTAACAGAACTGATAGAGTCATTGGGATTCGAAGATAAGACCTCTCGGTTACGTTGCAGAAGGCTCTAATATACCATATCAAGAACCAATTGGTCTCAAATAACTCGAGTTGTTTGAAAATATTCAATTGTATGGAGCATATACCATTTACTAATGGGGTCACTGGGATTCGAAGAGAAGACCTCTCGACTACATAATACTCTGATTCTGCATACTATATAAATAACTCCAGATTTTACATAAAAATATGCCTAATTGTTTATTTTTTTGAGTTTACTGATTCGTAATTTAACGTCGAATTCATCACTCTCAAACTAATATTTGTCCGTAAACTACGAATCACTTAATCACTAATACAAATCATTTTGTTATTCACTATGATAAAAAAAATATCACTAATACAAATCATTTTGTATATTTTTAATTTTTACGTCATAATCGTTTTGAAATGAAATCATGGCTACGGCACTGCCAACCATACACTATAGAGTATGCTAGTGAGACACGTAACATATGCAAGTAGGTGTGCTGGCTGCTTGTGATAATTAATGGACGGATGGGTAATATATATACTTGATTCATGAACGAGACCAGCATTTGATTGGAGGAGGTGTAAGTATGGCGATTTTGAAGTTTATCTGCACTGAAAATGAAACATCTCCACCACGTTGGGCCACTGAGCTTGCACCAATTATCAGATTTGACTGTGCATTTTGTTTGTTTGTAAGTGTCACTGCTTGACGGTGGTTTGAATTATGGGGGGTGGAACAATTTCCTAGTACAAGAGTGAAATTCGTTGATCTTTCACACGGCGTAATTTGAAGGTCATAAACCCGTGAACCAACCATTTTTTAGAATCTAATTTAGTAGAGTAGATTGATTTTATAGTATAACTAGATTAGGGTCCGACTTGCTCGTTGTTACGAGAATTGGAGCATCATAGCAATTGGGCTAATTATTTGGGTCTACTTATCCTTATTGTTTTAGTATTAGTGGTCTATTATTATTATTATTATTATTATTATTATTATCTTATTTAGTAGTTTTCTTGTTCAATTAAGATACGTCTCATTGTTAGTAGCTTTTTTAGAGGAGTAGGAGTCATGGTCTAGATAGAAAAAGGTAGAGGCTCCTATGACTATAAATATGTACTACTTGATTCGTTTAATGTCATGAGAAGATTGGAAGCCAAAGTGGTTAAATAGTTTCGTAGTTAGGAGTAGTTGTAAGTGGAGTTGATCTCGTTATTAAGGAGATCCTCTACCCAAAAACGTTCGAAAAACATATCCAAAAGTTCGTGTCATGGATTTTTCGTGAAATCTACGTAACACTGGCCTTGAGAATTTGATGCTCATGTATAATTTAGGGTTTTAAAATTTAATTTAGTCCCTTGATTAATCGTGTCTATGTGCTTAGCAGTGAGCCAGTGACCAAACGTTGCGAGCTCCAAAGCAACAGTTTAGACAGTGAGAAAATTGAATGAGAGATATGGAGCTATTGTGTTAATTTTATGTTTCAATTTAGTATTTTTCCTTTGTCTCCTTTATTTTATTATTATTATTATTATTATTATTATTATCTTTTTCCAGTCCGACTTGGCTTTTTGTATGGACTCTCGCTTATCTTTTGTTTTCATTGTACACTTTCTTCGCTGGAAAACAAAGACAATCTCTATGGATCGTTCTATTATTAATACGAATTAGGACACCTTGACGGCCGTCTTCCTACCAGAAAAAGGAAAACAAAAACAAAGACAAATGAATGAATGTATTAAATAGCTGAAAGTTTTTTTTTTGGTAATAAACGGAGCGCAGGGGGGCGCTCCAACCCTTAACTACTAATCAATCTCGGGGTTTCAACCCCTGCACTGTCAAAGTACAGCAGTAACTTAACATGGGACCGGGCCTGTCAAAGACATGAACCCCTAAAGACAAAGAGTGTCCCACCGAAGCCAAATAGTCAGCTACAAAGTTCTCTTCTCAAAAAACATGGTTGATTCGGACTTCCCAATCCAAACTCAGCAACTGCCTTGCCGCCGCGATCAGGCCTCTATGCGGGTTATGATCTGCTGCCGTCTGAATGAGCTTGATCGCCGTAGATGAATCAGTTCGCACCTCAACTCTCCTGTATCCGGCTTCCCACGCCAGGCGAAGACCCTGGACTATCCCTGCCAGCTCCGCGTGAGTGACTGAGCCTCTACCCAAATTGATCGCAAAGGCCTTCATGAACTGGCCCTCGTCGTCACGGAAAACCCCGCCTGCAGCCGTGCTCTCCATCCCACCCACTACCGAACCATCCGTGTTCAAGCAAACCCATCCCCTCGACGGCTTCCGCCAGTACAGGAGCTGAACAGAATGAGCAGGTGTACCCTTCTCCTGCATGAACTCCGACCTTGACAAGGCCAGCTCGATATGGTGGCAATAGTCCTGAACCTGAACAGCAATCACATTGGTCGTCAGCAACACCTTCTCAAAAATATGACAATTCCTATTCTTCCATAGCTTCCAGCAGAAAGTTGCAAAAAGAGACGGCTTAATGATCTCACTGCGACCCGCAAGGTAATGCGACACCCATTTCTTTAAGTCTTCATCAAAAAAGAACCTATCCGGCTCCTCTCCCAGAACCTGGGACCATGCGTCCCGGGCATACGGACAATCCCGTAGAACATGGAGTGTAGTTTCCGGCCCTTCTCCACATATCTTGCACAGATCAGCTTGCGACAGGTGCCTCCTTTTCCGCTCGGCGTTAGTAAGCAGTTTCTCCTGAACAACGAGCCAGAAGAACGGCCGGATGCGCTGGGGACCCGGGATCCTCCACACCTGTTTCCAAATCGGGCTGGTAGTACTCATCTCTTCTCCGTCTCGAGTAAGTGCATAGGCAGTACTGATTGAGAACTCGCCCGATGGGGATAGGCGCCAGCATGGTATATCGTGGCCTTCCTCATGCGGCGTAGGGTGGAGCTGGAGCTGCATGACAAATTCCTCCGGTAAGAAAGCCCGCACGAAGTCTAAGTTCCATTGCCCATTCAGAACTAGTTCTGCCACCTTCAACTTCCTCGCCTCCGGCGGTAAATTGCTAGCAAGGTCGGCCAACGGAGGTCCATCAAAAAACCACACATCGTCCCAAAAAAGAGTTGTCAAGCCATTACGTATAGTCCACATGGTTCCTTGAGGGATGAGGTGAAGTATGCGTAGGATTCCTCTCCACAGGTTGGAGATCCTCCCACCTGTTCTCGGCTGCCATCCCTCCGGTGTCTCCTTCAAATACTTGGAGCGGATTACACGAGCCCAAAGACTCTCCGGTTCCTTCATCAAGCGCCATGCGATTTCCATCATGAAAGCCTCGTTCATCTGTGTTGCATTCCGTAGTCCTAAGCCCCCTTCCTCCTTGGTCTTGCACATTGAATCCCAGTCCACTAGGTGGATTTTCCTACCTTGTTCTGAACTTCCCCAGATAAAGCCACGAATTTTCCTGTCAATATAATCTCTTACCGAAGCAGGAAGGAAGGCTGTCTACATTGTATAGGCAGGTAGCGAGGCTAAGACTAACTGTGCAAGGGTAATTCTCGCCGCCATCGAGCGGGAGTTCGCCTTCCAGCCTGCTAATCTCTTGTCAATACGATCTATGAGATCTGTATAAGTAGCCTTCGAAACTCTGTCGTGGATCACCAGCACTCCCAGGTACCGACCTAGGTTTTTTTGTCTCTGGGATATTGAGAGCCGCACTCAAAGCCGTGGTTGCTGCAGCTTGCACGTTCTGCGAGAAGAACACCCTCGACTTCTGACGATTCACCTGCTGCCCAGAGGCCATCCAAAATTCCTCAAGTCAACGATTAATCACTGTAGCTTGAGCCGAAGAAGCTTCGCTGAAAAGGATTAGGTCATCCGCGAAGAACAGGTGTGAAAGCGCAGGGCCTTGCCCTGTCAGCTTAACTGGTTTCCAATCTCCCTGGGCCACTGCAGCTGAAATGATGTGACCTAGCCTCTCCATACAGAGAGTGAAAATGTACGGGGACAATGGGCAACCCTGGCGTAGGCCTCTGGAGGGGACAAAGGACTCCGTCAATCCGCCATTCCACTGGATCTGCATGGACGAGGAGGAGATGCAGCTCATCGTGAGGTCAATGAATTTCTGCGGGCCCCCTGCAGCATGCAGCGTATCACGGACGAATGTCCATTTAATGCGGTCATACGCCTTTGCCAAATCAATTTTTAGCACCATCCACCCCACCCATCCTCGCTTAGCTCGCATAGAGTGCACCACTTCCTGCAAAACACAAATGTTGTCAGTTATATGGCGGCCAGGAACAAAGCTCGTCTGAGTCTCGTGCACCAATCTCGGCATGATTGGCTTGATCCGCTCTGTCAAACACTTGGTAATCAATTTATAGGCCACATTGCAAAGGCTGATCGGACGGAATTGATCAATTGTGATGGGGCGTTGGACCTTCGGTATAAGTACGATGATTGTCTCATTGACCGGTTTGATCTTAGCCGGGTTTATCCAACACTCTTTTGCAAACTCCGTGACAGATTGACCAACCAAGTCCCAACATCGTTGATAGAATTGAGGATTCAAACCATCCTTGCCCGGTGCCTTTAGCGGGCCCATCTGACGAACTGCAAATTGAATCTCCTCGGCATTAAACTGGGCTGTAATGGGCTCCCACAGCTGCCCTGGGATTTCATCGAAGCCTGCCGGGATTGCTCCTGTAGGGATACCATCATCCGTATAGAGGGCCGAGAAGTAAACACGAGCCAATTCCAGGAGGAGCGCCGGGTCATCAACCCACTCCCCGTCATTATTTTTCAGAACGGAGATTCTATTTCTTCTCCGTCGGTTCATGGTTCGAGAGTGGAAATACTTTGTATTCCTATCCCCCGAAGCTATCCACTCTAAGCGCGACTTCTGACACCATAGGATTTCCTCCTGCAGTAAAATCTCTTCGAGGTCATTCCTTGCTTGTATCAACTCCGCATCCGCCGAATCACCCCCAGCTCTCAACTCCAGATTCTCGATACGGATTAGTAACGCGTTTTTCTTCCTTAGAATGTGCCTGAACACTTGTTTGTTCCATCTTATTGCCTCTCTAGCGAACTCCGTAATGGAGCTCAGGAGGTCCGAACCTCTTGCACAAGCTGATTCGGCCATCTCTCTGAAATTCTCATGAGCTAACCAGGCAGCCAGAAACTTAAATGGTTTTGGGCCTGCTGGATGGTGAGTCGGGTTGAGTGAAATCAGAATCGCACGATGATCACTCTTTACCTTTGGCAGGTGCCTGACAGAAGCTTCCGGAAAGAGCGATACCCATCTAGCATTAGTAAGTCCTCGATCCAGCCTTTCTTTCGTTCCTGCCCTGAACCAAGTGAACGGAGGACCTGTGAATCCCATATCTTCCAAGCCCGCATCAAGAACACAGTCCTGGAACTCCCGAGCCCGACTAGCATCAAAAGGGGCTCCCCCCATCTTATCGGAGGGCAGAAGGATAGAGTTAAAATCCCCCGCGAGGAGCCAGGGGTCTTCCATCTCTTCCGCGATCGATCTTATCGACTGCCATAGCTCTCTCCGTTGGATCAGAGCTGGGGCTGCATAGATTGTCGTTAGGAACCAAGTATCCCTCCCTGTTTGAGCTCGGACGTGTAAGAACTGCGATGATCTGTCAACTTCTGTAATGGAGACTAAAGAAGAGTCCCAAAGCAACCAAATCCCACGGGCAAAACCAACTTCATCTACAACCAACCACTTATCAAACCCCATTGACTTGACAACTTTCTCAGCCGTCTCACCGCTGATTTTCGGTTCGACTATGATAGATATGCCCGATCTAAATTTTCTCATATGCTCTTTAAACACTCGCAGGAAACGATTGCCCCCTGCTCCCCTGCAATTCCAGGAAAAAATGTTTAACATTAAAAGGAGACGGAATTGGGGTCATGGCCAAAGCCAGCTCACGCATCCACCACGGTGTCCTCTGAAGGGAGGAACCCTGGTTGACTTCCACCGATCTTCTCGTCGATAATCCCATAGTTTCTCACTTCAACATTACTGGTGATATCTGGTGGCAGCCTAGCACGATTGTCCGGTGGTTTAGCCTGTTGCTCCAGCTCCAGATCATTTCTTACAGGGGCCTTTTCAAAATTTCCTTCCTGAACCATGCCGCTCATCTGTGTTTCCTTCGCCGGCCTTATGCGTACTTTATTTCTTAACGTCAGATTGGGCTCCATATTTAGCTCCTCAGTGTTTGGTGATCCTGCAACCTTCTGCCCCTCCGCTTCTCTCACATGCTTGGTCCCTGTCATAAATGCCTTTGATTTATCTGCTGGTATATGTGATCCTTTATTACCTACTTCCCTTTGCTTATCCCTGCCCTGGGAATCCAACCGCCTATCTCTTGACCCATCAGCCTCTAACGTAGCTGCATGGGCATCATCATCTTCCTCCACGTCCAAGACGGTGAAGCGGGAACCCATGTTAGAGTTCTTTGGTCTCGTATTCCGGTTACTTCCATTAGGACCCTGTCGGTCGCCGCTCGGGTTGGTGTCTCGCCGGGTACGAGGCTTCTTCTTGGCGATCATCCATTCACCATAGACACAGCCAGGATCCTTAGGGGGTTGCTCATTTGGTGTACTGGGAGTATCGGGTTTTTCAGCATCTGCAGACTGCGTGCAACAACAACGGGATCGAGTAAAGTACGTCCCACACTGTAAACAGATATTTTCCAAGCCTTCGTATTGGACGTAGTATTTGATACCCTTGATAGTGAACTGGGACAGGAGTGGTTTCTTAAGATCCACTTGTACGCAAACCCGAGCATAATCACTCCTTGCTCCAGTGCTAGTAGCATGATCAACACGTAATGGTTTCCCTATGAAACTTCCAATCTTCAACACTGCGTCTGGGTGGAAATAATGAATAGGTATCTCGAGCAGGCGCACCCATACAAGAGTAGAGGAGATTTCATGCCTATAGGGATTGAAATGCTCACTCCAGGGGTGCACCATGAGGTAGTTGTCACCCACCATCCATGGTCCTCCTGTTATTGCCCTCTCATAGTCCATTCCACTGGTAAACCTCACTAGGAAATACCCATTCTTGGCTGATGTTACTTGTATTGATCCGGCTTTGGCCCAAATAATATTTAGTCTATTGGCAATGAGGGTATAGGAGACTGAGCGCCCAAGCACCTTCACCACTAAGGCCGATCGCCATTGCCTGCAGAACTTTCTATCTTCAGCCGGCGAGAAGTAGATCTCCGGGCATTTAGGATCAATCTCGC